AAGCTAAAGGACAGCCCATAGTTTCTTCTTGGAGAAACAAATAAAAGAGTGGGTATTATTGGTTTTATGATACACCCAATACCACCTTCTTTAAAGATACAATTGGCAGTCTTGCCCTTATAATGAGAGCAAACAAAAAGACCATCACTATGATAAGTGCAGCTTTTGAACCAAGATATTGTAGAGGAGAAAGTAGTACAAGAAGTCTATCAAAAAATCCACAAGATCTTTCAAATCTAATCAACATAACAGATTGAAATTCAGTGACTTTAACAGGAAGTTGGGTACAAGAATGACAAAAAGTATGCTAGAAAACTGTAGTTAATAATTAAGAAATGAAAGGGTGCAAAGGCCTGTAGTGTATTTAAAAATTTCATTCTGGTATATAATGAATACTTTCTTCTAGAAGAGAAGTGAATCACTAAATATGGTGAGAAATAAACATCATAAAAAGAAATGGACTATATGTAACAGACAGGGACCAACTTGTAGCCAGCCTTAAAATTTAAGTTTTTAAAAATGGCTTATAGTTTAAGTTTTTAAAAATGGCTTTGTGTTGTTACGAGACAGGACATTTCTGCAGAAGTAAACTGTCAAACTGAAAGGAAAGACAATTTTGCTTTTTAGCTTGGTCTGAGGGAACAACTGTTCACAAAGCAAAGTAATTCTATAATAGTACAAGAGTTCACTGAGTACTGGGGTGCTTTTTTAATTGTTGTTTTGTTAATTTTATCCGTATTATTTGAGAGAATCCTCATCAGCTAAATAAGTAATCAAAGTCAAGCTTAGGCCAAGTGCTAGAAAACTACTGGAGGATACTGTACATCATAAATTATTTTAACATAAACACCCTTCAAACTTGTCTTTATCATCTAATAAATGCTTTAAAATTCATTACCCATGGGCATTAGTGGGTAACCAAGTACCTAGTACCAACCTAAACTAAGGAAATATTATTTTAGCAGTTGTTTAGACAAACATAAAATTAGCATCTTGCATGGCATTAAAAATACTTCAAAATATCTTTGATTTTCAGAGTAGAGCTCCCTCCATTTACACAGATCACAACTATTCCATGTCTTATAAATGATTTCATGAGTTGCTGCAGCCAATGTTCTGGTGATGAGATTCTCAAAATGTAATTAAGTCTGTTCCTGAGCAATATTCCATCCGTGGGCCTGTATTCAAAGCTTTTTTACGTTGGGAAGCCCTGCGATGTACTATAATAGTTTTTGAGCTCTCAAGATCACTTCCATACAAATATGAAGCAGCTTTAGAGTAGGACATTAATGTATAACATTACATTAGAATTAAAAGTCATACTGTGAAAAAACAAACACTTTGTTTTGGCAGAAAGTCAGGGCCCCCTGCTAAATGGAAAAAGCATTTCAATAAAAGCTTTAAACCAGTATTTACCAAGGTCAGCATAGAGGTATCAATGAAATCATTAGATTTATCAGGCTGTGCCCTGATACAGTCTTTCATGTATAAATAAGGAAGACTGAGAATAGTTATGTGCCTACCTAGGAAATTGCAATCAATAATCTGATTTAGGAGTCTTTACTCAGTTCTTCAAAAAAAAAATTATGAATGCATTGATAATTTAGTATAAATGCAGTTAGATGAATTTTAATCAAACAGATTTATACAAAAACAATTATAATATAACATTTCCTAGCAAATGTTATGTACCTCATTAATAACTAATTTTATTTCTTGTTTTCACTACTTCCACATAAGTAAATGCATTGTAATACAAACTTAAGGAATCTTAGATTTAAGGAAAATGCATATTATAAAAAAGGTTGCATATACATTTTAATAGGCTTTAAAAATATTTAAAAAACAACAACCTGCACAACACAGAACTAAATGAACTACACTAAGAGCTGGCAGGTTGAAGTATGCTCTACCCAATAACAAGTATTTTAAAGCAGTTTCCATGATGATGAAATCTTTTATTTTTGAAAAAAAAATTTTTTTTAAATTCGGTGCTTACTCTGTGCAAGGCCTTGTACTAGGTATTGTGTATACAAAGACAGATGTAACATTTATCATACTCTAGGAATTTATAGTCTAATGATGGGGTTGGGGGAAAATACACATACATAGATAAATGATACCTGGAATAGTGAGCTAAGTACGGGGGAAGGTGAAGACAAAATGTTAAGAATAAACTACAGAAGGAAAGATCACTTTTACCTTGTTAGGTAATACTAAAGGAATGACTAGATTCTGTGTGACCCAAAAGACGATGGGTTAGCACAGGCTACACTCAATCTTGGCTTTTGTTTTTGTTTTTCATAAATCATTTTCTTTCATCTGTGCCCCTATCCAGGTTTTCCCCTGAGAACATCAGAATTTGGTTCTAGTCTAGGTCTCCCCTCCAAAAAAAATGGAAAAAAGATCCCTCAGCTCCCATACAAGAATCAAGGCTATCACACCATCAAATATAAAACAAGCTTCATTTAGTCAGACCTCAAACTCCAAAAGACAAAAAACATTCATTCATACCCAAGCCTACAAATTGTCGACAACTCTACTTCCTGTTACCACAGTTCTCTATCTCTCTTGGGGGGCTGCCCACAAAGTAACGAAGGTTTCTAATACTAATCTAGGTCTAAGATTCCCTACAAAAAAAAAGTAATTGTTTTGATGAAAAGAGGCAGCCATTCTGCCTCTGAGGAACCCTACCTTTCAGACATATCTCTAGACTTGGAATACTCATCTGGCTGACCTCTCCTTGTCAACTACCCCACTGAGAAAAGCACTCAGTTGCTGGAGAGTCAAAAATCTATTCTTTTGAGTGAGCTCTACTTTCCCAGACACCTATACAGTCTTCTAACTCTCCTACTCACGTCTAACAGTATAGCTTAGCAATGAACTTCGTGAGCAATACGGTATAATAGCCTAAGGAAAAAAATATGATAAACATTATGAAGGTGGGGTTAACTCAATGAATACCAAGAAAAGGCAAGTTCACGGCTTGACAAGAGTTAACCCTGCCAAGAGAATTTCACTCCTTAAAAAGTCATCATAAATAACAGAACAGAGTTCTTATCAGTGGGTGATAGAGATTGTTATATAATGTATAGGGAATTTCACATGCAGAACCAGGCTTAGTGCTGGGGCACAGACTCTACAACTGCAAATCAAAAACATAAGGAGAAAAATAGTTTTAAAAAAACAAATTTATTTAATCATGTTTCTGGATTAATATATGGATGACATTATAGAATTCATTCTCAGTTTAGTGATTTTTAACTGAACAAGTTTGAGTAACTTATGCCAACAACAATTTTTATTCAAGGGTGACACTCTTCTTAGCTAAACTGATGTGCTTTTTCTTACATTATATTTGGAAGGAAAAAAAAAAAGGTTTTTCAAAATAGGCAAAGCTATTTAAGAATAGACAGCTGGTGGCACCGTGGATAGATCACTGGGCTGGGAGTTAGGAAGACCTTAGTTCAAATCTGGCCTCATGAACTCACTGGCTGTGAGACCCTGTGCAAGCAATTTAACTTCTGTTTGTTTCAGTTGACTCAACTGTAAAAAGGGGATAATATTAATAGCATTTGCTTTGCAGAGTTGTTGTGGGATCAAATGAGATAATATTTATAAAAACTGCTTTGGCACAGGGCCTGACACATAGTAAGCACTATCTAAATGTTTATTCCCTTCCTTTGCCTTTCCCCTATCATTATGTTGCATAACACTTTAGCTCCATTCAAGCCCAGATAGCTCCCTTGCAGAAAGACAAAGTGGAGAACAGGGTGCTTGCACTGGCATCAGGAAGCCTTGCTCTAATATTTGCTAGCTGTGTGACCTTGGGCAAATGATTTTACTTCTATAAGTCTCTTTTTCTTCATAGGTAAAATGGGGATAATAATAGTACCTCTCTAAGGGTTGTTGTGAGGATCATCCAAGTTCATTTAGGTAAGGCAAATTTTAAAACCCTACAAAAATGTAGCTAACCTTAAATACAGTAACATGAGAATAAGATTCATATTCTCAAATAAACAAAATTTTTTTCCCTAACAGAAATATTCACTCCAATACCAGTGGTGCATATTATAATAACTAACATTTGTACAGCATTTTAAAGTTTGTAAAACATTTGAAATATGTAACCTCAATTGATCCTCACAACTCTATAAGGCAGAATATTATATATAATTATTATTATTATATAGCATCATTTTCATTTTACCAATGAGAAAACAGGACAAGAAAGCATTATGACTTGCCAAGAGTCTGAGGGAGGATTCCAAGCTATCCAGCTGAGGTCTTCCTGACCCCAAGTTAAGCACTCTATCTCTGCCACACAGCTATCCCATGCATGTGGAGGATATATCAAAACAGAATAGGATTCCCTGATTTTGGCCAAGTAAATAAGCATTCAAGAAAAATATAGGAAAAAATCCAAAATAGTCACATCAAATTACTTCAGGTTAAAAAAATAGCATTATTGATTTTAAAAATATGATTTGTAAAATAGTTTTACCAAATTCAATATATTCTTATAAAAAAGTATAATTTGATTCTTATTTCTTTTAAAGACTAAAAAAGTATTAAAAATTTTGGTTAGTGGAGGCCATCATCATACAACTGGAATAGTTTATCAGAAATCTGTTTAAAACTTAATAAAAGAGTTCTTACTTTAGTATTTCGTGTTCCACAATTTGGTAACTTAACATGATTATCACAGGTTTAAATGAATCCATTATTAAGCAAACAAAAAATTTTGCATTTTTCTTCACAAAACAGCACAATGTTCAATTATTTATCATCCTACAGAACTAATCAGTTAAATAAATTATACCAGAATAAAGTTAACAGAAACATCTGAAAAAAAAATGGTTTAAAATTATGATGTACTTTAGCAAAGCAACCTTTCTAAACAAGGGACCTTAAACATTCTTCACATTTAAGTACACTTTGATGGATACTTTACGTTATTCAATATGTTTTGATAAATTTGGTATTGTTTCTATACATACCTGATGCAATGACAGGCTCTTTCATTACTTCCCTAGTTATTGGACATAGGAATTCATCTGGGATTCCAGAAGAAAGGGCTTCCACCTTTACTTTCAGCTCTTCGATTTTCCTCAATATTTTACTCCGCAGACCAAGAGATTCTGAAGAAAGATTAAAACTGTTAAATTCAGATGACTATGATTGACTAGGCAAGATTTCACTTAAAGTAACCAAAAACCTTCAGATAATACTTTCTCTTTTAATTAAGTCTCTTTTTAAAAAAAAAAAGAAATAACATTTTAATGTATTTTCAAAGACTACATTTTTGTTTACTTAAAGTAAGTTGGGGGGCAGCTAGGTGGCGCAGTGGATAGAGTACTGGCCCTGGACTCAGGAGGACCTGAGTTCAAATGCGGCCTCAGATACAAAACACTCACTAGCTGTGTGACCCTGGGCAAGTCACTTAACCCCATTGCCTAGCAAATAAAACAAAACAAAAAAAGAAAAACAAATAAAGTAAGCTAGAAGCATTAGAAAAATTTATTGTTAAGTCTTAGACTTTAAAAATTCCTAAAATTTCAAGTTGCCCTAAAGAACATACAACAAAAAATAGAATAATTCAATTTTCTTATTCACAAAATTAAACATTTCCCAACTATGGTTATCAAGATTTAAAAGTGTTGGCATCACTCTGAGAATTCCAAGTACAATACAGCATTATAATGGATATATATATTTTATAATATTTTGCATGACTATCTTCACTGCTCATTGATCTGTTACAGCATGATCACAGACAAAGTATAGAAGAAAAGTGTAAACAGGACATTCTGTTGACTTTGCCATTTTGGTTTTTATAAAAGTAGGTTTTACTGTTGCTAAGTAAAAAGGAAAAAAAGATAAAAATACCATCAGCCAGGTTTGTAGAGTGTTTCCAAGGGAAAAGGGAGAAAAATGGGGTGAAAATGGAGGGGGAGAGGGAGAAAGTGAAGTAACTCCCATAAAAAGAATATAAGCTTCTAAACAAATCAAACTGAGAAAATAATGAAAACACACTAGCAAACTGTTAATGTTGCCTATGAAATTCTCTTAACAGAGTCCCAAATTAAGACCTTACGATATTTAAAATAAAGCACTAGAAAAAAATAAAGGATTTCTTCATGGGACATGACACTACTTGAAACTATTTCTTCTATGGCTTTATGACTCCATAAAAAATTCCTTGGATTCTCTGTCATTAGTCTCAAGAGGAAAATTATCCTATGTAAAAGCATCTAAGTCTGAGCTATTCTTTTCTTCTTTAGTTTTAAATAGTTACTAAAATTCAAGGTTATACATGAAAATGAAACATTACAATCATATACCTCAACTTTCAACAAGTACTTATTAAGTATTTACTATACGCTAGGCACTAGACCACATGCTAGGGACACAAAGGCATTATCCTTGCCTGTGTGTGTGTGACACACACACACACACACACAATATAAATAACTATATATAACTGTATATATACACACACACACATATACACACATACAATATAAATGGAAGGTAATTTCAGAGGCAAGGGACTTGTTGGGGGGGAGGCTTGGGAGGAAAGATGGGAAAGAGAGAAAATAAATTTCTAATTGAAAAAATTAGTATAAAAAGAAAACAAAAAATACTCTTGTAATAGTAAAAGGAGGATTTTAGCCAAGTCTCAAAGAAATCTAGGGAGGCTAAGGAGGTAGCCAACTTAGGAACAAGTTGTATTCCAAAAGTTCATTTGTTAAGGAAGCTGTGTGGAAAAAAGAAACTATTTTTTCTCTATAGAAATGATATTATAGAGTGTTTAAGTTCCTAGGCTGGCCACTAAAACCTCAGACTTATCTTATAGCTTAATTACTAATGAATACTATAAGCCTGTATTGAGTCTTAACTGTAGAGTATAAGTGATATAAGAGGAGTAAAAATTTAAACGTTTTCCTATGCTTTGTAAGGGGTAGCCCCATACAAAAAAAGCTGTAGTAAGCAAATTCTGTCTCTGATGCTTTCAGCACTCCCTCCTCTTCTCTTGCCCCCTATAGCCTCATGCTGTCCAAAGCCCACAATTACAGCATTTCATCTAGCCTTGTTCTTGCCAGAGTGGAAGAGGTTTTTCCAGGTTTGATCAGACTGAATCCCATGGATGACTACTGGGACATAGGAGGAGTGAGCCAACAAATGATAGTTTTTCACACATCAAATTCCTTCAGACTGTGTTTCATTCTCACCTCACTTAGAATCCCTAGCTTCCCTCAAAGGTCGGCTCCTGCCTCTTATGATAGGATGCCTTTCTTGATCTCTCCAGGTGCTACTACTACCTCCACTTCCTCCCCACCAAAAGTCTTATGTTTATTTTGTATATATTTTCTGTTTACTCATGTGTAGTCTTCCCCAAGACAACATTAGTTTCTGGAGGGTAGAAGTTGTGCCATTTTTACCTTTGTACTCCTAGCACCCTCACAGTGACTGGCCCAGAGTAGACACCTAATAAATGCCTGCTGACTGAATGACTGAAAGGTGTCACGCAAGTATAAGAGTTAAAACATATATGTTCCAGCAGCTAATTATTTCTGGTTTATTCAGACAGTATGGAGGTCCACAGTGGAGTGGAATGAAATTTAATCTAGAGAGCATTCAGAATGAGCAAGCTGGGGCTGGGGGAAAGAGCTGAGCAGCTGACAAGAGGGGAAGAAAGAAGCATAATTAATGATCTAGGTACAAAATTAGAGAAGCTTAAGGGGTTAGCAATGCAACGGTCAGACCGAGGTAAGAAGCAACCACTGTTATCTCTCTTTTCCATCCCTAGAAGAGGAGCTCTAACTTGACACTAAAGCAAAAATTCTTAACCTTTTTTTGTGTCATGGACCCTTCAGTGGCAGTCTGGTGAAGTCTATGAATGATTCAGAATAATGTCTCTAAATGCATAGATAAAATACATAGAATTACAGGAAACCAATTATATTGAAATACACTTATCAAAATGTTACAAAAAAATAAATTTACACATTGCTCAGGATAAGAGCCTCTGTCCTAAAAGGAGCCCAATACCCTTCTCCCCAACCCTGTCTCCACAAGCAAACACAGCCTCCCTTAATACAGTGTCATCCGTTTCCTTATCTGTCTCAAGTTTTTCACATGGTAATGACACCTGGGAACGTGGTGGTATGACTCTAAGCAGGAATATCCATTTTAATATACATGTTGTTTATACGTAAGATGTTTTGTAAAGTGGGGACTATCTATATAATAAACCTTGTTCTTAGATCTTGGTTAATCTTGAGAATTAAATGTCTGAATTAATAGAAACTATTAAAATTGGAAAGCAAGGTTTACCTCTATCATTTTAGAAAGCTGTTACATGCAAAAATTACTTTAAAAATATAATTCAGAATTTAACAAAACTGTAAAATATGACATTCACTTAAAAATTAAATTAATGTAAAATGAGCATTTATTCAGCCAAATATACTACTTTATTTTATATTTATTTTTAACAGTCCCACTAGTATGAAAGATATGTGTATAAATCAAGGTCAATTTTTAGAAAAGTTTGCAAATCAATGACAAAAAATGTTTCTCAATAATCTGTATTCTAAAACTATTCTAAGAGATCAATTTTTCATTTTATTTCTAAGTACTTCATTTTTGAGGAGCCTATACAAATAAGCTTACACATAAGCTGCTGTGGAAGCCAGTGGTATAATATTCGGACTCTTAATTTAAATATTTCTTGGTTTGGGGAGATGTATAGTTTGGTTGCTCCAGATGATTAATGTAATGAAGCATATTACTGCAGTTCAGTTTGGTAGATGAAACTTTTACTGATTCAACAATTAGTCTTATAGAAACAAAAAAAATTTAACACACCGCTTTCACATAACAGCTTTTTGTAGTACTTACCTACTACCTTTGTGCATCAACCATCAATGAGAAAACATTCTCCTATTATTTTCATAGGTCAGAGATAAAAGAGTTGAAATTTTTTCCAAAGCTTTGAATGGAAAGACAGTATAGATATAGAGCTGGAAGGTACCTTAGATGCCAAGTTCAACCACATAATTTTAAAGATAATGAAACTGAGGCCTAGGGAAGCTATATAACTTACCCAAGGTGACAAAGGGTAATAGGTGTCACAGGTTGGATTTTTACTTAAATTCTCTGAAGACAGAACCAGAGCTCTTTCTAGTCTACCAAATAATGATAATTTTTTAGGGGGCTATCTTAAAGTCAATGGGAATGTAAAATACACACAAAAGTATAATACTGAAAAACTTATCAGAATAACTAACTATCTAAAAGCAACAAAAGCAAACATCTTTTTGGTGATACTCAACTAATAAAACCATTACTTTAAGATAAGATACCAGGACAATATAGTCTGTTAAGTAAAATGGAAAGGTCTATCTACTTTCAAGACAAGGTTGCAGATTAAGAGGAATCTTCTCTGACAGCAACCATCTTGTCATGAAATTGAGTGCAAAAAAAAAATCTCCCCTGAAAATATTTTTATTTCTCCATAAGCTCAGAGAAGTAAAAGCAGAGGACACAGAAAGATCTTTAGCAAAACCTTAATTTTTCCAAGAACGAAGAAAAGTGAGCCATTGATTCACGCATGAAGAATCAATCCATCAAGAATTAATGTATCCCACACTGCATTACAGGCTGGGGAAACAAAGAAACAATCTCTGTTCCCATGGAACCTATATTCCATTAAGAAGATGTGCATACTTTGTATAAATATATTAAAATAAATACAAGATAATTATGGCAAGGAAGGTTCTGGCAGCTTGGGCAGAAGGATAAGGAAAGACTTCATGTACAAAGTGATCTTTGAGCAGATCTTTGAAAGAAAATAAAGACTGTAAGAAGCATATATAGTGAAGACGTGCATTCCACGCCAGAGGAGCACCCTGTGCAAAGGCCTGGAGAAAAGATAGGAAAGGAAAGAATGGACAAGTATGTGATCTATTGCAATTTTAGGTTTATAGCAAGCAACATCCAAACTTGTTAAAGTCACTTCTGAAAATGGATACTCTCTCTCAAATGTCAGGAAAACCAGCAACTTTGATCTTTACCATCACCTGTGCCTACCTGCTATAGGGAAATTTATATTTGTATAAATTTCTTGAAAGAGCTAAGAAGTAGCCTTAAAGTCTTCCCAAAGTGTATTCAAACACTCTTGTTAAACATCTCTATGGAATCTCTCCAGAATTTGATTTCTCTGTTGAAGTAATACTTTACCTTATTTAATGTAGCAGTAGAAAATAAATTCTGAAGGTAAAAATTTTGTACAGTATATTATGACAGCATATAATATTTAAAAATTTACAAATGAATTATTACACTGCCCTGTTTAATTGATTCTTTATGCTATTTAGAAAACTTTATATGATTCAACATAAATTTATACTTAAATTTCTTTTAAATTCTATTTCTGGTTATTTTTCTAAAAAAAAAAAATTCTTCAGGATGTGATTCTATGTTTCAATGGGAAATCAATTTATGTCATTCAACTTATAGTGTCTCTTCCAGGTATGTAAACTTCCATACATATGAGGTGTCGGTATAATTATTAAAATACATATAATACATATGTAATCTCTGCATGGACATTCTCTATTACATGCCAAAATATAGGAGTAATGAGGAGCTGTCCCACATCTAATTTATTAGCAGGAGCCTCCAGTGCCAGGCAGCACCTAGCCATTCACTACGAAGCAATGACTTTCCTCTGGCAAAAAAATAAGCACCACCCCAGAAAGAAACCAACACCTCTGCTCAGCTAAAAGCATTCTTTTCCAACAGGTGTATGAGTTAGCAGCAGCTCCTTAATATAGAACCTACAAAATTCTCTTTCAAATAAAAAATCTAACATCCAGGTTGTTCAACTCATTTAAAAATGCTCTATTTTAAGTGTCAAGCACAACAGATACGCTACTCTAGTTTTTAACAGTCCAATGCATTCTACTCATTCTACTTTGGTGCACAATTAATAAGCTTTCTTCATATGAAGAGTATTAAATGGAATTCAAATATAGTCACATTGATGCAGGGGCTGTTTTATCTGTTCTGCCACAAAGGAAAAATGTAAAATAGTTCTGCATTTGAGGATTATAAAGTGAAATCTCATTAGCATATTCCTCATTATCACATTTTGCTGTGCAGCACATTTTTTCAATGCTTAGACACAATCTTAGACCCCATTAGTACATTTTCCTGCAGTGTCTTATTTAGTTTTCTGAAAACTCAAATACTAGTAGGATTTCACTACAGCTTAAAATAGCACCTGTGGAAGATTAAAGTTTAGAAACTTAAGAATTTTTCAAGATTTCCAGAATACTGTAGGAAAATAAAATCCTTATCCTACTTAGTAAAAGTGTTAAATGTGCTGAGCATGCTAAATTCTTGAGCTTTGGTGACAAATGAACAGTTATATATTTACTGAAATATTTTCAGACAAAATATCACCTACTGCAATTTTCTTCAATTAGACAACCACAAAGTTAAGATAGTAATGAGATATTGCTCAATTTTTTGCTTACATCTGATAATGGCAAAACCCAATTCACTGTACTTTCCAATGAAATTATTTTGTGTCAGATCAGAAATTTTTTTTTTTAAACCACACTGATGATCTCTTGGTTCTAAAAAAAAAATCATCTTATTTTCATTAGAACTTATTACTGTTATATTTGTAACCATCTTTTATAAACTGGAAATGACTACTTTTTCTTGCAAAATAATTTTATTTCACATGGTAACATTAGTGGCTTGTTATGGTACAGTAAAACTCTTATAATTCAGGACCTACATAATTAGAATCCTCATCTAAGTAGACTATATACTCTTATTTTTAGGAGGGAAAGGCAAATAATAAACTAAGATTTCAGAGTCCAAAAACCAAGTTCCAGGGTATGTCCTGGAGTCAGTCCACTTGATACCTTGAACAATTATAATATTATAAAATAAAAAATCCTAAAGTTAGAAGGCACTTCAAAAGCCATACAGTTCAACCCAAACCTAAAGTTTTAATCTCTTTCTATATCATCCCAAAGCATAGCTGTTTGCTTAAAAAACTATATAGTAAAAGGGACTCATTCCATTCTGGACAGAAGTGAGTCCAAATCTGCTTTATTGTGACTTTTACCTGAGGATAATAGAATGAGGTTAATACCTCTTCCACATATTCACATTATAACAATAATGAACTGCAAGATTCTTAATCATCAAACATTTAGTTATATTAATAATTTTCTTATTAATAATGTAAGAAAATATACTAGTACACTCTAGAAAGATTTTCAACAACAGAAGGTTTCTGATTAACCAGAGTTCCCTGCTGACCAGGAATTATGATTAATCAAAATTCTACTCTATAATATGTACGTAGTAGGTAACTGAATTATGCTTGGTTAAAACATCGTATTTGAACTTTAGGTAAATCAGGCAAAGCTCACAGCTTTGCTTTTTCTTGCATTAAAAGGTTATACTTCCAAATCATAACAGCCAATTGTCTTACAGATGTGTGCGGTTGATCATAAGTCTCCACTAGTGGAAAAACAATTCAATATATATGTACTGCAGGTGGTGGGTGTCATATGATGCATCATAATGCAGTCCAGGCTAACAATCCCCAGGTAACTAGAATCATTCCAATTTGGCCTAGCCTAGCCTAGCCCAACTAGGGACAGGGAAAGGAGTCCTTACTAAAGTGAGTCTATTTTTGATTTTCATGTATATAGACTCATTAAATTGTTTTTTCCACTGACATGCCAATTACACTATGTAGACTGAGGTTGTACCATAATTAAATATTCCTTCTTATTTGTAATTTCAGTTAGTTCTTAAGGTTGTTATTACAAATTAAATACATAAATACAACAATAGTACATATGTTAGCATATCTAGAGAAAAACAGTTTGATACAATTGGATACAACTTTCCAGAAAGTACTTATACATAATCTTTCCTTATGTAAAACTGTCTTTTTTTATTAATCTTACCAATTTTTAAGTCATCAGTCAGACTTTGTTTCGTAAGATTCAACAGTTCTTTGCCATCAATGTTGTTCATCTTGAAAATATTAACAAGGTCTTTTAAACCTTGTGCACAAAGCCATAATGAAACTTCTTCCTCTGACCAATCTTCAATAAATTGCTTTGGTTCATCTTCTGGCCTACCTGCTTGAGAAACCATGAGGAAAAAAGCAAATACAATATGTATAATTTAAAATGCATTTCCTTAAAATTTTTTACTTACTTCACAAAGTTATTTAAATTTCCTTAATTTTTCATTCCATTATTTAATACCTTCCAGAAGATTCAAAATGAAATATTTTTCCTTGTACCTTTTCTTTTTCACCTGATACATGTGTTTTTTCTTCTATTTTAAGATTGAACAAGGTGTTCTATTTGCCCTCTTGTTTGTGTATCAGTATAGAGGTCTGTACAACTGACAAAAACAGGAGTCAGTAAGTTAGCTGCTCCTACTGCCTCGAGTGGCCAAAATGAGGTCAAGAAAATATATTATTTCTATTCTCTCTGTAAACTGTTTATTCTTAAACAGAGAATTCTATAAAAATTATGGAAATGGATATTGTGAGAAAATATTTAAACATGCACACAATCAGACACCAAAGGCACTTTCCTACAGTTTTAATGTACTTCTAGCTATTAATTCTGACCTCTCCGAAAGGATTTTAAAAATTATAATAAATCTGTATTTCATGTTTTATATTAAGGAAAGCAATTTGAACAACTTGTCACAAGATTTACTGTGTTCCCAAACTAAATGCTGAAAGGGGCGAGCTAGGTTAGAGATAATATCCCTACTAACCTTGACAATGTGCTTTCAGCTCAAATTGCCAGATGTTCACTGTTTTGTCCATTGACCCAGTAGCAAGTAAAAGACTATTGGGTGCAAAGGCACAGCTTGTAACATACCTAGGAAAGAAAAAGAACTAGGGAATTTAATATCATATGTTTTCTAAATAAGAATTTTTCTTGAATAATAGTTATAAAAAGTGATGTTAAGGTCACACCTGGTATGATGAGTCAAAGTGTGAAGTATGCTCCCAGTATTCTGAAAAATGGAAAAAAAAAGTCTTATGATTGTATAGGCAAGAAGAAATTTGTTATTTTTTTTCCTGAATTTAAGTTTACCGCATATAGTTTATGTCTGTGTTCTATATGGCATCTATCTTTGATATTAATGATAAAGAAAAATAATTAAGAAAAAATAATGAAATAGTAGGCCCCAATACTAAAATTTGCCAGCTATCTGTATATTCTTTCAAAATCAACATTTCTAAGGTACATAGGTGGTAAGGTGGATAGAGCATTGGGCTTGGAGTCAGGAAGCCCTAAGTTCAAATCTGGCCTCTAATACTTAAGAGCTGTGTAATCCTGGACAAGTTAGTTAACCTCTATTTGCTTCAGTTTCCTCATCTATAAAATGGAGATAATAATACCACCTGCCACTCTGGGTTATGGCAAGGATCAAATAAGAGAATAATTGTAAAGAACTTAGAACAATACCTGGAACACGGTGAGTCCTATATAAATGTTAGCTAATCATCATCATCATCATTATCACCTTCATCATCTCTGTTTACCAACCACTAGGACTCATCAGATTCTTTGATTTTATGGCTCCTTACCTCCTTGATTTTAGTGACTTACACCTTCAGTTCATATGCCAACACAGCAATGTCAACGTGAGTTTAAGGTTATTAGCTAATGTGATCATGTAGACCAGATTTAAATTCATGTCTCTTCTGATCCCAAATACAGCACTCTTTCTATTATACCACACTGATTAAAAACAAAAACAAAGGCATTTAGGAGATACAAAACAAGGACAGGCAACTGAAATTTTATTTAACAAGTGGTATGGTCATGTAAGAATGGTAAATTTCATAACTAGAAAAGACTGGTAATAACAGTTAAGAACAAAGAAAAAGGTGGTGGTACAAGCCAGGCTGCAGCCAAGAGGAATATTAAAGGACAGAATCACTACTTTTAATGGATGAGATAATGATGAAGAATGGCACAACTAACTTTCTGTTCTAATTCTTTTTTCATACTATGGACAATGGCTTTCAACACTAGGAAAAAGGGAATAAAACTGATCAGGGAATTGAAACCCATGATAAATGAAGAGATGGCAAGAGAACAACTAGTTGGACTACTGAGCTCTGACAAGTAGTTATATCACCTTGAACAAATCTTAACCTCTCTGAGCCTCAGTTTTCTCATTTGTAAAGTGTGAATAATAATACACTATCTCTCTCCCTCCCGATTATTGGGAGAACATTTTGTAAACCTTAAAATGCTATGTAGATCTGGAACTTCCAGAAGTCAAGATGGCAGAGCGAGCAGTAGATCGCTGTCCCTCTCCCATTCTCATCTCCGAACACCCATAAAATGGCACCCCAGAACAGATCATGGAACAGTGGAGCCAGCAGAAAGATGTGGCAGAGCAGTCTTTTGATTCAGAAGACTTAGAGAATAAGGCAAATAAGGTCCATATCACTTGAGTAAAAGGGGAGCACATTTCCAGTATAGGAAGCATCCCAGAAAGTCCATGGTAGACTCCACCTCAACAAACCAGCAGGAGATTCTGAGCCCCAGAGTGGTAGAAAAGGCAAATGCCAACACCAGGACCCCCCACACACCTTAGCACATCCAGGGGAACCAGAAGACTCCAGCTTGGAGAACCACTACATGTGCCAGTGCAGCCCCAGGCAGAAAGGCATCCTCCAGCAGCAGACCTCCCAGTGATTCAGTGCAGTCCTGGGCGGGCAGGCATCTTCCAGCAGCCAGACATCCCCATACTTCAGCACAGTCCCAGGGAAACTCAGAAAAACATCTGGTCTCAGCATACGCCAAACGCTACCGTTAAGACCCTAGCTCTGCATCAGGTAAGCTGCCAGACACCTGTAGCCTCCAGCAGCCAGTGCCTGAGGCCCTAGGGAACAAAGCTAGTGACTAGGCCCCTGGACAACAGCATAAGAAGCTTGGGACAGTACCCCCTGTGCTCCAGCAGGAGAGCTCAACTTTAAAAGCCACAAAATCGGCCAAAAAATGAGCAAGAAGTAAAAACAAACACTGACTATAGACTCTTTCTATGAGGACAGGGAAGATCAAAACACAAACTCAGAAGAGGTCAACCATGTCAATATACCCACATCTGAAACCTCAAAGGGGAATATGAACTGGTCTCAAGCCTAAAAAACCTTCTTGAAAGAGCTCAAGAAGGATTTTAAAAGTCAAATAAGAGAGGTAGAAGAAAAACTGAAAAAAAAGAAATAAGGGGTGTTGGAAAAGAGAGTCAACAGCATGGAAAAGAAAGGACAAAAATTGAACACAGAAAATAATTACTTAAAAAAATACAGTTGGCCAGATGGAAAAAAAAAAAATCACTGAAGAAAACAACTCCTTAAAAAGTAGATTTGGCCAAATGGAAAAGGAGGTACAAAAACTCACTGAAGAGAAGACCTCCTTAAAAAGTAGAATTGGCCAAATGGAAAAGAAGGGACAAAAGCTAACCGAAGAAAACAATTCCTTAAAATTAGCATTGGGCAAATGGGAGCTAATGACTATGAGACATCAAGAATCAGTCAAACAAATTCAAAAGAACGAAGAAATAGAAGAAAATGTAAAATACCTCATTGGAGAAACAACTGACCTGGCAAACAGTTCCAGGAGAGATAATTTAAGAATTATTGGTCTACCTGCAAGCTATGATAAAAAAAATGAGCCTGGACAGCATCTTTCGAGAAATTATCAAAGAAAACTGCCCTGAATCCTAGAACCAGAGGGTAAAATAGTCATCAAAAGAATACACCAATCATCTCCTGAAAGAGACTCCAAAATAAAAACTCCAAGGAATACCATAGCCAAATTCCAGAATTATCAGGTCAAGGAGAAAATACTGCAAGCAGCCAGAAAGAAAAAATTTAAATATTGTGGAACTACAGTTAGGATTACACAGGACTTAACAGCTTCTACATTAAAGGATCACAGGGCCTGGAATATGATATTGTGGAAGGCAAAGGAACTTGGACTACAACCAAGTATCAATTATCCAGCAAAATTGAGTATAATCTGTTAGAGGAAAAAATGGACATTCAATGATATAGTGGACTTTCAATAATTCCTGATAAGAAAAAAACCCCAGCACTGAACAGAAAATTCAATCTTCAAATACAAGACTCAAGAGAAGCATAAAAAGATAAACAGGAAAGAAAAAAAAAAGATTATTCAATAAGGTTAAATTGTTTACATCCCTACACAAGAAGATGATACTTGTAACTCTTGAGAACTGCATCTTTACTATGGCATTTAGAAGACAGAGGGTGTTTAATATATAAGTTGAATTTAATTTAATAAGTTAAATTTAATGTGATGATAAAAATAAATAATCAAGGGGCAAAAAAAAAAGGATCATACTGGGAGAAGAGGAAAGGGGGAGGCAGAATAGGGTAAATTATATCAGAGGAAGAGGTGTAAAGACCTATTACAGTAGAGGGAAAGAAGGGAGTTGGGTGAGCATTGTTTGAACCTTACTCTTATCGAATTTGGCTCAAAGAGGGAATAACACACACATTTGGTTGGTTATAGAAACCTATCACACTCAATAGGGAAGTAGAAGGAGAAAGGGGAAAGAAAAGGGAGGGGGTGGATAGAAGGCAGGAAAGAAGGGACAGAAGAAGCAGTAGGGGAAAAGGGAAAGAAAAGGGAGAGGAGCGGATAGAAGGGAGGGGAGATCAAGAGAGGCCATGGTCAGAAGCAAAACACTGGTGAGAGGTGAAAGGAGAGAGAAAAGTATAAATGGGCAGAAAATAGGATGAAGAGAAAAACACAGTTAGTAATCATAACTATGAATGTGAATGGGATGAACTCTCCCATAAAACAGAAGCAGACAGAGTGGATTAAAAACCAGAATCCTACAATATGTTGTTTACAAGAAACATATTTGAAGCAGACAGATACACACCGAGTAAAGGTTAAAGGCTGGAGCAGAATATATTATGCTTCAGCTGAAGTAAAAAAAAAAAAAAGCAAAAAAAAAAAAACCAGGGGTAGCAATCCTGATCTCAGACAAAGTAAAAGCAAAAATAGATCTAATTAAAAGAGATGAAGAAGGAAATTATGTCCTGCTAAAAGGCACTCACAGGATGCAGCCAAAGAGGTTGTTAGGGGGAAATTTTATATCTCTAAATGCTTACATAAATATAATAGAGAAAGAAGAGATCAATGAATTGGGTATGCAACTAAAAAAGCTAGAAAAATAACAAATTAAAAATCCCCAATTAAATACCAAATTAGAAATCCTGAAAACCAAAGAAGAGATTAATAAAACTGAAATTAAGAAAACTATTTAACTAATAAATAAAACTAGGAGCTCACTTTATAAAAATGACAGATAAACCTTTGGTTAATTTAATTAAAAAAAAGAAGAAAACCAAATTACCAGTATCAAAAATGAAAAGGGTGAATTCACCACCAATGAAGATGAAATTAAAACAACAACTAGGAACTATTTTGCCCAAATATATGCCGATAAATCTGACAATCTATGTGAAATGGATGAATATTTACAAAAATATAAATTGCCCAGATTAACAGAAGAGGAAATAAAATACTCAAAATGACCCCATTGCAGAAAAAGAAATTGAACAAACCATCAATGAACTCTCCAAGAAAAAAATCTCCAGAGCCAGATGGATTTACAAGTGAATTCTACCAAACATTTAACAACAATTGATTCCAATACTATGTAAACTATATGGAAAAACAGGCAAAGAAGGAGTCCTACCAAATTCTTTTTATGATACAAACATGGTGCTGATACCTAAACCAAGAAGAGCCAAAACAGAGAAAGAAAATTATAGACCAATATCACTAATGAATATAGATGCAAAAATTTTAAATAAAATATTAGCAAAGACATTACAGCAATTTATCACAAGGATAATACACTATGACCAGACGGGATTTATACCAGTAATACAGGGCTGGTTCAATATTAGGAAAACTATCAGCATAATTGACCATATCAATAACAAAATTAACAGA